TTATTATTCATTTTAATGAAAATTCACAGAGACTGGATTTCCATTCATTCATTGTTGCCCTTTTCTCCCCTCCCAACCCTCCCACCTAGTACACTCCCCTCTCAGAAAAGTAAAAGAAAAATTCTTTCATTGTTTTACAATCCCGCCCCCCAGGTCCACTCCACTGTGCAGCTTTTGCTCTGGACTCCTGTCATGACAATAATACCCAATCACATATCCCTTTTAAACAATTTTCTCCCTCATCTGTTTCAATGCAGTATACATTATTGAACCCATCTTGCTCATTCTCCCCCCAACTGCGATGTCAGTTCCTGTTTTACAGCAATGGCACCATGCAGTATTTGTCCTTTTGTGTCTGAGATGCTTCACTCAGCATAATGTCCTCCAGGGTCACCCATTTTGAATAATATTACATGAGTTCCTTGTTTTTCAATGCACAGTAGTAGTCCATTGTGTGAATATACCACAACTTCTCTATCCATTCGTTTGCTGATGGGCACTTAGGTTGTTTCTAACTCCTTGCTATTGTGAACAAAGCCATATTATACATGGGTGTGCATATATCTGCTTGGATGTCAGTTATGGCATTTGTTTTATAAAATTAGTCACCAGTGGACCTTGCCCATAATTACCCTGTCTTTTTGTTCATATCCTTCCCTTTTCTTTCCTCCCTCCCTCCACTCACCAAACTGTGCAACACAGAGCTTTCCTTCCTACCACTCCTCAGCCCCCTCCCATCTCCCTCTCCCATGAATGCTTTACTAAGTTAATCTTCTATTGTTTGCAATAATGACCTTATGCAGTATTTGTATCAGACTCCTGAGTGCTGCATAGTTTTAAGTGTGTGAATAGACCCGAATTTTTCAATCCATTTGGTTGAGGTTGGACATTTGGATTATTTCCATGTTCTTGCAATTGCTGCTATGAACACTGATGTCCAGATCTCCATTTGTGCCAGTTCTAATTTCCTTGGAGTATATTCCTAGTAATGGAATAGCTGGGTCATATGGAATTTCTATGTTTAATTTTTTTTAGGAAATTCCAAACTGCCTTTCCAGGGTGGTTATTCTGCAAAATTTACAGGCCCACCAACAGTGTATGAGATATCCCACCTCTCCACATCCTCTCTAAATATTGCTTGCTGCCTTACCAAACTTTCCCACTGTTAATGGAGTGAGATGGTATCTCATTGTGGTTTTGATTTGTGCCTCTCTTATTGCCAGTCACTCTGAGCATTTCCTCATATTCCTGTTGGCCTCCTGAATGTCTTCCTGTGTGGAATGTCTTTCCATGTTTGTAGCCCATTTTGTAATTGGATTATCAGCCTTTTTCTTCTGGAGGTCCAGAAGTAGTCTGTAAACTTTTTTTATGAGACCCTTGTCTGAGATGTTATTGCCAAATGTTTGTTCCCAGTTGGTAGGTTTTTCATTACATGCTGTTGGGGGGAAAAAAGCTTTTAATGAGCAAGAGATTTAATCTTTAGAAAGTCCTGTTCATCAATTTTATCCATTCCAGAATGTGCATTTCTGTCTGTATTTGGCAGTCTCTTTATACCACACAGCCTAGGCCTCCTAAGCTTGGTCCCACTCTCTCTCTTATGATCTTTAGGGTTTGGGTTTTATTCCCATGTCTCTGACCCATCTTGCGTTTTGTATTTGATACAGGATATGGATCCTGTTTAAGCTTTCTGCAGGTAGCAGTACAGTTTTGCCATCGCCATTTGTTGAAGAGGTTGTCACTTCCCCACTTGATAGGTTTTGTTTCCTTTTCTAATATAAGTTGATCATAGAGAGGTTCACTTCTGAGTTCTTGATTCTGTTCCATGGGTCTATGTCCCTGTCATTATATCCGTACCACACTGTTTTGGTTATTATCAATGTGTAGGAGGTTTTAGAGCTACGCCTCCCACTGCATTTTTCATTTTTCAGAAGTGCTTTGCTTTAGTTGAGGTCCCTTTCTTCTCCATATAAACTTGACAATGTCCCTTTTGACCTTCTTGAAGAATGAATTTGGTATCTGTATTGTGTTGAACATGTAGATTGCTTTAGGTAGGATTACCATTTTCATTGTATTTAGTTGTCCTATCCATGAATAGGGTACATTTTCCAATTTATTTAGGTCTTATTGTGTCTTGGATAAATGTTCTGTAGTTTTCTTTGTATATGTCTTTTATGTCTCTAGTTAGGCTCACTCTCAAATATCTCAATTTGTGGTTGGCTATTGTAAATGTTATTGCTTTCTTAGTTACTTTCTTGTGTTTTCTTTGTTACTGTAGAGGAATCCCACTGATTTTTGGATATTGACTTTGTACCCTGCCACTTTACTAAATTGGTCTACGATCTCAAACAGGTTTTTTGTTTAGTCCTTGGGATTTTCTGTATGCGCTATCATATCATCAGCATATAGTGACAATTTAACCATCTCTTTGAAGTCTGGATGCCTTTTATTTCTTTCTCTTGTCATATTGCCCTAGCAAGTATTTCCAATACAATATTAAATAGAATTGATGATAATGGGCATCCTTGCCCGGTCCGCTGTTTATAAGGACTATTTTAAGTCTTTCTCCATTGAGAAGAATATTGACTCTTGGTTCTGCATATATAATTTTCATTATGTTTCTATTCCAATTTTGCTGAATGTCTTAATCAGGAAAGGTTTTTTATTTTATCAATTTATCAGTTGCATCAATTGCTAAATTTTGTAACATTCTTTTTATTTTCTTTGTTAATATAGTAAACTACATCAATCATTTTTCTTAAATTACACCATCCTTGCATACCTGTTATGAATCCCACTTGGTCATAATGAATTATTTTTTTGAAGTGTTTTTTGGATTCTGTTGGCTAGGATTTTGCTAAGGATTTTTGCCTCTATGTTCATGAAGGATATTGTTGTTTAGTTTTCTTTTTTTGGTAATATCTTTGCCTAGTTTTGGTATTAGGGTTATGCTTGCTTCATGGAATGTGTCTGGGTGTGTTCCTTCTCTCTCTCTTTCTCTCTCTCTCTCTTTTTAAAAAGTAGAATTGGTAATAAATTTTCTCTGAATGTTTGGTAGAATTCAACTAGGAATCCATGTTGCCCAGGACGTTCTGTAGAAGAGTCTTTTTATGACCTACTCAACTGTTCATTCTCAAAGATTTTTCCCTATATTTACTTTTTAAAATTTCTATCACTTTTTAGTAACTACTTTGACAAGAACTATGTTATTGCTATTGTTTGTTGATATCAAGTTGGCTCTGAGTCATAGTAACTCTACAACAGAGCAAAACACTGGAGAAAAAAAAATCGTCAATAATATTTCTGTTGTGATATTAATCTCAAAAACATATAGAAAACTTCAACACCTTCATGAAAAGGAACATTTATTTTTTATAATTTAGTTATTTGACATTTTAAATTCATATAGCTCTATTTGATTATCTATTTCAGAAAAACTATACACTTATATTTCCCCTGATGTTATTTTCCAAGAACTTTATACTTTTAGGTGGTCATGTAGGCCTTTAATACAGTTGAATTATTTTAAGTGTATGATATAAATGATGATCCCTGTTTTATTTTTCTGTAAGTGAATGTCTAGTTCTGTCAGCACCATTTGTCAAAGAGAATGCTTCTTTCCGTTGAGTGTACTCTGATTCTTGTTGAAAATCAGGTTCCAAAGAGGGATTTTCCACTATATCCTATTAGGTTATTTCCTGACCACTGAACCATTTCTATAGTGTTTTGACTATTCTCTGAAAGTGCTCATAGGCAAATATATCATTTAAAAAATTTAGATTACCTGACCATAGGAATCGTGATTTCAATCACATGAGTGCCAACAAAAAAATGGACAATAAGGAATATAGAGTTTGCTCTGACTTAAATTTTTCACAAAGAGAAGAAAGATATAGAGAAGACCTTAGTTGGTTCTGCCTAGAGACACACCTTCAATCTTCAAATATCTGCACTGTTGAGTAGATAGTCCTTCTTCTAGTTAAAATTGCTAATTGAATTCCCATATTTTTTAGACTGAAAAATGGGGTTAGATCTGTTGGATACAATGAGATTGGCTCAGAATAGAGCATGATTCGGAGCTATAGGGTACATAGGGTTGCTATGAGTGACAGGTGACTCGATGGCACATAACAACAAGGTACTAGAAGAAGGAAGGGCAATCTCTATTAGAGCAATTAACTACCTCAGAAAACCCACCTAAGAGTCAGCTATGGGTCAGTCACTACTTGGCAGTACACAACAGCAATAACAACAATAAAGTCTTATAGTACTTTGATTTTTGGCTAACGGTAAGGAGCTGTACTGCCAACCCAAAGGCAAGAGTTTCAAATCCATCACCTGTTTCTCTGTGTAATGCTTTTGACAACCCTTTGGAGAGTCAGGTATTGGTCATTTCTGACTCGATATACAACAAAACAAGTAATATGATACACATTTAAATTTCTCTTATATTTTACTAACATACAAAGGGTTTAGAATATTTTAAAAAGTCTGATAATGAAACATTTTTTTAAGAGAAACTAGTGATAAAACAAAATGAATAATCTCAATGTACTAAATTTAAATGAGCAAAGAAAGTGGGTACATATTAAAAATGCATTACAGTGGTAATCGATACAAGATGATAGAGAATTGGTTACATTTTGTTTGTTGATTCTAATACATTTTTATGACAGTGTGTGTTTAAATTGTTACCTTATCAAATAAAAATTATAGACTCAGAATTATGCTGTATATTTAATGATCATTAATGCCAGAATGAGCTAGCAGAAAAACACTGTATAAAATAAATGGCAGCGTGGACTAAAGTTATCTAAATTATTCAGATAGTATATTCAGTCATGAAGTAAAAGATGATGTTAAATATTCATCCACCTTGTAAGCTGTAAAAATTGCTCAAATATATGATTTAATAATGTTAAATAATCACACACTATTTTATCTGATGCCTATAGAGTTTCAATATCATTGCTAAATATATTTTCATACCCCCATTTATCTTATCATATGTGTTCTGAGGTAATTTTGATACTCCATAACTTTCTCATTGCATTTTTCACTTCTTTGTTCCTCAGTGTGTAGATGAGTGGGTTGAGAAAGGGTGTCCCAATGGTATAAAACACCGTGACCATCTTGTCCATGGCATATGTGGTCGGCGGTCGTGTGTATATGAATATACATGGACCAAAGAATAAGACAACCACGATGATGTGAGAGGTGCAGGTGGAAAGGGCTTTTCTCCTTGCTTCTGCACTGTGGTTTCTCAGTGAATGTAAGATAATAATGTATGAGATCATCAGGAGCAAGAAACCACTTGAGCAAACTACCCCACTATTAGACACCAACTGTATATTGATGATATAAGTGTCCATGCAGGCAAGCTTTAGCAAAGGTTGCAAGTCACAGCAATAATGATCGATTAAATTGGATTCACAAAAGGGTAGTTTCAAGACCAGAGCGTTCTGAGTTGTAGCGTGTATGAAGGAGCATATCCAGGCCAAAATAATCATGATGACGCAGACCTGTCTTCTCATAATGGTTGGATAATGCAGGGG